TGGTATGCCCTCGCAGTGAAAATGTAGGATTGTGTTCCTTTACCTAGTGGCAGCCTCCAGCTTAACTTTCCCCTTTAGACAGTGATGTGCAACTGTTGCACGTCATGCGATTACACTACAATGTGATCTCCCCGGTGGTAGTCTTCAGCTACACCTTCTACCTTGACTGTTTTTGTTAGGTTTGAGTATGATAGTTTATATGCTCGTTCATGACTATTCGTCGTTCATTCATAATTACCACTTGTGAATTGGCATTTCTACTTGTTTTTCATCCTTTGGATGTCAGCCATCATTATTTAGGCTTCTAGTGGATTTATACCCTGATAACATCAGCCCAAAAAAAGCTAGCAGATGGGCAACTATTTCTGGTGATGTACCGTTTCGTTAGCTACATGCTAGCTTTGTCAACTTGATGTTATCAGGGTAGTGTGTGAATACACTAAGAAAACAGTGGACGCAGACGAACATCTAAGTACCGGCCCTAATAGGAAGAAAGCTACACTAACTAAGAACCCCACTGTGCTTGGGCTTTACAATACTATAGGAATAAGGAGCAATCAATTGGTCTTTTATAGATACGAGAGACAAAACCACACGGCTTATCTGTACAGAAACGGACCTTTCGGTTTTCAGTAAACCTGAGTTCATTATCTGAACTAGTTCGCACCTATGGCACAACCGATACGATTGCATAACGCATATGTTAGCATAGGAGCTCAGGGTCAGGGAGTTAATTAGTTAAAGCGTTGTTGACAGGGAGGAAAACATCCAAAACAAAGCCGAAAAAGCTTAAAACTGCCTTATGGCAAAAAATGGCGAAATTTTAAATGCAGAAACAAAGCATGCAGACTACATTTGAGGGGCCTAAATGAACCGTCCGTTTAAGAGTAACGACGGAATTTGTGATATTTTTTTGAATAGAAGTGACGGTAAAAAATGGACTAATATTATTACACTACGTTAACAAACTGATATGGACCGACACCTACCGAGGCAGAGGGGAGTTGACAAATCTGCGTACAGAAGCACCCAATCAATTAGTTTTTTCAGTTTAAAGTTGGTCAAAAGGTTTCAGTGACTTCTATCCCAGACCCGAGAGTGGGAACAATTTATTGTTGCGCTATTTATGCGAAATTTAAGTTAGGTATTGCATCTCGAAATGATATTGACTGCCGCAAAGGAGATTTAGATTGTTATAGTTAGAGGCAAGACGAAAACAAGTGCAAAGGCCAAATAAAGAAACCGTAGAATTTTAGTAGAAAGTTATGGTATTCTATGGTCCTCGACAAATATCATACGAGTTGCTGTATTTGGAGGTTTATTTTATTTAACGGTCTCTAAAATACTGTTGTTTCACGTGGTAGGTATCGCAATGGATACTTTCAACGATCCCAATACACTGTCCTGACGTTGACAGACATTCTGACGAGAATTTACGGGAACATGAGTAGTCTGAGTTCTAAGCCAACGTCTACAGTGTCTAAGAGACGTAATATCAACAAACTAAGCGACTACGAGAGCAGTTGTGCTTGCTCAGTCGAAAGATGTGAACTTATAACAGGCGCCCGATTGAGTCGAAAGAATAATGTTCTTATTAAAGGACTATCAGAGTTAGCACCAGCAATTCCAAAGAAGCAAGTGAAACATGACTTGATACTCCTTCAGTTGTATGCTAAAGCCTTGCTAGCAGACGATTATTCAAACCACATTCTCAAGGCGTATAGAATAGGGAAGGTTCAGTCAGCACCCGGTTCAAGTCCTCGGCCAAGACCTCCTAAAATCATTCTGGCAACTAAAGCACAGGCACCGCTCCTGTTTCAGATAAACGCATCCCTGTGGAGCCTGCATTCCAGAGTTTCTCCGGCCGGAATACGAGCTGAAAGTGTGAATAAATAATGACACAGTTAATGAAATTGCTGGAAAAACGAAGGAGCACTGGCGGAGCACATCTCGAAACAAGGGATTTACCTACTTCCAAGTCAAAATAGCACGTCTTTGGCCGA